AACGTTGGCACCAAAATTTAGTGGGTTCCAAAACCTGACTTTGACTAATATTCACATACTTGGTGTGAATATTTCTAAGTAGCTGCAGCAATAGTAATGTGCATAAGTACAGGGCACCGCCCCAGGCCTCACTGGAAATGCCATGTGATATATGCTGCCTGAACAGCCTGAACAGCGTTACTTCTCTAAAATGCAGAATTTTCTGAAATCTGGAACACATCTGGCCTTAAGAACTTCAGATAAGTGATTTAGAGTCTAGAACAATTGCCTACTCTATGAACCTGGGAGGATGCCCACCTCGCAAACAACTCCACAGCCTTTAGGAAATGGAAGAAAAGGGAGTCTCAGGGTGTATGGAGAGGATTTTGGATGGACAGCCCTTAAAAATGATGGCTTAGGGACTATAAATTTTAACACATCATTGTATTGATTCAAAAGCTGACCCAGTGTTTCATGCAACATGGCCGGTACGTAGTATATACTGGATTCTGTGCTAAACAGTTTGGAAGTTACAAAGATGGATCTTAATTTTTAAGAAAATCTTATCAAGCTAATAGGACTGCCACATTTAGCCAAGTGTGTGTGTGTGTGTGTACATGTACAGCATGCTCAGTTAAATTTGAATTTCAGATAAACATAGTAATTTTTTGCTGTTATTATGTCTCATGCATTATTTGGGACATATTTACATTAAAAGATAATTTGTTGTTCATCTGAAATTCAAATTTAACTGGGTATTCTCTACTTTATCTAGCAGCCATACAAGCCAATAAAGTGAGCATTTTTTCAGGGTAACCTTGAACCATCTGTTTAACAAGTATTGCACACTTAGATATGATAAAACCATTTTTTTCATTGCTATTGAAGAATTTACTGTATAGTATTGGAATTCAAATAGAGCCAGCAAGTTAAATTTCAGCTCTTTTCTTCAAGATTATAACTTAGGGGCAGCTGGTTAGCTCAGGTGGTTAGAGCATAGTGCTCATAACACCAAGGTTACTGGTTCGATCCCCGCATGGGCCACTGAGTTGTGCCCTCTACAACTAGATTGAAACAACTACTTGACTTGGAGCTGATGAGTTTTGGAAAAACACACTGTTCCCCAATAATTTTTTTTTAAAAAACAATACAACTTAAAAGAGAGGAAACTTATGTTACTGTCTTCTAACCACAGGTCTGGCAAATCAGTGATCCTATGACAAGTCTTGGATTATTACATTCATTCAAGATTATTGGCCACCCTTGTGTACAAATTCAAATTACTTAGGGTAAACTTATAACCATTTGTTTGTTAGAAGAGAATCATTTTGCTTCTGAACTTGAAATGCATCATTTCTCTCCAAATATATATTGAATATTGGAATCTCTCACAGTTCATTTTTCATTTCGTTTACTTGAGGCATTTAATCTGAATGTAAGAATTTGGGAACAAACAACTGGAATGATATTTGTAAGAGAGGCCTTTTATATTATGAAGTAAAGGTGCTAAGACCAAATGTTTTAAGAAGAATTTTTGGTGGATCCTGTATTAGAATCCTGTGTCTTCATTAAAAAAATCAAATTGTAGTTAACCGTCTTTGCTTCTCACGTCATCCTGGGTGGCTAAATCGGTGGTTCTCAACATGGCTGCCTATGAGAAAAGCTAGAGAAATTTTTAAAATACTTGTTCCCTAGGCTTTCTGACTAGGTGGAGGCCTGGGAAATAGTGTATTTAAAAGCTCTTCCAAGTTTTTCTAATGTACAGTCAGGACTAAGAACCACAAAGCTAAATAGCCTATATTTTATGAGGGCAGTAATCAAGTTCACTCTTTTTTCTCTGTCTAGTCCCCTTATAAATATTTATTGAGTGAATGAATGAACAACTCACTACAGAAGCAACAATATGACTGGTTTTATATACTGATTTCTACTTTCATTTGCCCGTGAATGATTTACCTTCGGCTGTATAAACACTTTAGGAACATCAGTCTTAAATGTAGAAAATAGGCAGAACCTGGCAATGAATTTGTGACCTAACTGGATTTTGCCACTACATCAAGAGAGAACAAGTCAACGCAAGAACAGTGCTGATGGAAGCAGCCATGTCCCTGGGGAAGTCTCATTCTGAATGTTCTTGGTTTTATAAATGTCCCCTGGTACACACCTATATTTCCCCGGAGTGTTCCAATTTCTTGAAATCTTAGTTTTTTCAACAAAGTTAAATTTGTTAAAATATGAAAGATTCATTTTAATTAATTTATTTCCTGAAAATAGATTTATGAATCTTAAAAAAAAAGTTATACTCTTTCCCAGTTTGGTGTTTGGAAAATATCATTGTGCCTATAGTAGTTAGAATAGGTGAATTTACCAATTTAAATCTGGGAGAAGAGAATAACACCCAGTTTTAATATTTTACATGTCAAAAACAAGAACCCCTGACCCCAAGAGCGCCATCTAATTGGTCCACCTATGTTTTGATACTTCAGCTCTAATTAGCTGCTTGCCCAGAGCTAATTTTCCTTTGAAAACTTCCTGGGCGATAAATAGAAGACAGGAATATTAATTTCTTTCTGGCTCAGAGTTGGTCTACTTCTGGCTCCTGCAGGCGTGATGTCACTTCTCTGGTCCTCTGTGATTTATGGCCGGGCCCACCTGCCACTAGTCCTTCTTTCATCCTTCCCCTTTACTTCCTTTGCCCTCGCTTTGGCCCCACTGAGCTTTTGCTCTGAGACCCAGGTAGTGGTCACAGCCTTACTGACAAACCACAGAGAAGCTGCAAAGGGTTCTGATGGTGCCTGCTTGCATCATTCTTCTAACCGCTCCCTTGTATGGAATTGCGAAATGTTTTGAGCACCTCAGAAGGAAGGCATTATGTAAACATCAGGTATTTTTTATCAGTTGTTTCTTGGTGCCTATTATTAACAGTAAAAAAATTAGAGCATCAGAGGAATAATTTGATTATTTCTTGGATTGAGACCTGTGTTTTAAAAGGCCAGTGCCTTTTCATATTATCAAATATTGTATCAGTGTTTTCTATCAAATATAACTTTAAATTTTAGGTCGTTGAACATATGATATTTAATTAGAATGAATAGTTTTCTTATTTGTTTAACTTTCTGTTTGGAACTAGAATTGCTGCAGGATACGGTGATATTGTATCTATGGTAGAAATACAGCTCTTTGGATAAAATTATTTTGCTGTGTAAATAGGGCAATCTTTGATCTGCACATACAGGAACTAACACAATTTCTTAGCCAAAAGGCAACAGGTGTTCTGTATTGCTGGTTTTATTATGGAAAAAAATATTAATTGTGAAACTAAAGACTAAATCTAACTGGTACTACTAGTATTGTATATTCAGTTTTACTATGAATTAGCACTTGAGACTCTTTCTTTCTGTGAATGACGCCATTGCTTTCTCCAATTCCTGCACAATAGATGTGCCCAATTTACCATCTGATTTACCATCAAAGATGAGGACGCTGTCTTTACAGTCTGCTAAGGTTTAAGTTGTGGAATCATTTTTAGATTGATATATGAAGTAGGCATCTCAGTTTTATGGCTTCTAGATTTAATCATTTTGAGGGAAAACTGCATTTTTAAATCAAAGTATACATTTCTAAAATGCCCTTGAAATTTTCAAATTTAAGCGAAAAATGGAGACTCACATGAACTGGTATAGGTATTGGTATCATATAGATTTAGACTTAAGCCATAATATCTTTTATAAAGAATCTAAATATATGTTTACACAGGAAATCATGGCCATTTGGATGAAGAAGTTATAGTAAGTATAATTTTATAGGACTGTCAGCGCTTCATCCTTTAAAAAAAAATATGCTTGGAAGCCAGTTTTATTTCTCCTAATTCACATAGAGTGATCTAAGGAAAGGAAGGTGGTGGTTATTTTGCTTATTGAGGGTCAGACTGTGGTAGTGCTTCATAAAGTGCTTTTCTTTAAGCTGAGAGTGTTACCCAAGGAGAGGATCAAGTCTAAAACTGACTTTAAGGGTTCAGAGTATTATACAAGTTGGAAAGACGGACACTAAACAGATTGAAGTTTTGTCTCTCAATTTACGAGGTGACATTGTAAGGCCATGCAATCACTGTGTTATAGTATTTGCCTATTATACACTGGAGAATGGTCAGGGTCACTTTGGAGTGTGTGGCTGAGAAGGGATTTAGTGTTATCTTTTCCTTTCTCTTCTATTCTCTGACTCCTGAGTGGTCTCCTCTCCTTTTTTTTATTTTTTTACAGTGCATGTTACAATTATTTTTTATGTCAGTCACTGTAGGGAAGCCCTTATCTCCACAGTGAGCATCCCACTTTTGGTATCTCTGAGCTGCCTGATTTACCTTCCTCTTGCTGCTTCATCAGTCTTGCATTTTTACTAGCTCTCTCTGCCTCTGAATGTGATGCTGTCCTTGCAATCCGATTTTCTGATTGCTTAAGCTCTGAAGTTGGCCAGATAGCTAGAACTGTTTCAGATGACCCGGGTACCAACTAGACCACCTAGCCTGCCTCTGACCTGGGAACAAAATTTCAATACTTTCCAAAGCTTGCCTAACAAATGCTAGAGCCAATTGGACTACCACAGTACTTGAGGTAAATGCCTGCTTTTGTTTGTCTGGTTCTCTGCCAAGTGGCTCTGCAAGGCTAGCTGATGAATTCAGTTAGTGTTTCTTTTGTTCTTTGTTGACCATTGACCGACATTACCACTGTTTCCCCTGCGTTTGTAATATGGTGGCAGGAAGGAGGGAAGGAAGGAAGGAAGGATGGGGGTCACTGCCAATACCCAGTGAAGTGGGCTATGTTTTGAGAATACAGAAATGGGGTCCCTTGTCTTTACTTCCACTTATACCCCTTATCCTGGTCACTAACAAGATAATGTTCCCACGTTCGTAGGTTGTCTAGAGTTTGTGTCTACTTGTGTGTGTTATCCTTGGGAAATGTTCACTAACGCCTGCTTAGGTGTGAAGGTAATTTCTATTCTTCTATTTTCTGATTTCTGAACTTCAGGAGAAGGTAAAGCTTGATGCTGAAAGGGAAAAACTAGAGAGGCTTCAGGAGCTTTACTCCGAGCAGAAGACCCAGCTGGACAATTGTCCTGAGTCCATGAGGGAACAGTTACAGCAACAACTGAAGAGGGTCAGTAGCAAACAGGAATGCGCCAGCTGTTTTGTTTTGTTTTTTACTTTTTATTTTTTTGTTTTTCTCAATTAAGTTCCACTTACCTCTTCACATACTATAAATTTGCATAAGTTCTGGTCGTTAGATACTTTTTAAATAGAAATATGCATGCTGACAGTATATATTATTTCATGCTAATCAGTTAAAAATTCCTCGTTAAAATCCTTTACTTAATTTATAATGCAAAAATGTTTCTGGAGTCATTCTTTATAACCAAAGAGAGCAATTCCTGTCATGTAACCATCACCAAGATTGTAACATTTAAATCCACTGACATTTTCCCCTCCCATTCTCTGCTGCATGAGTACTGTTTAATCCTTCAATGTTTGTTTTCTTAGCTTGATTTTATACTCTTGTTCAAAAATTACCCTATTCTCTGATTTCCTCCCACCACCACTTACCTTTTTTTTTTTCTTTCTGCTTCTTAGTGACATTGAACTAATTTCTTTCTGTTTCTTAGTGACATTGAACTCATTAGCACAATCAAACACCCAGACCCAAGATGCAGGGAAGTACTAACGTCCTCAACATCTTCTCATATGAGCTGCATGGTTTTTAAAACCTTAGTGAAGCATAGACCTTCTAGTTAAACTTTATTGGGTTATTCTCCCATTCTTGATGCTGGCAATGTTTAACTCGCCATGTTCTGAAAACAAGATTTCTTACGTAGATAGTTTCACAATCACTGACAAGCCCACTTACTAGTTCATAGACAACTGGGCTGTCTTCTCTAAACAGCAGCCCAAATAAACGGTGACCCTGGGGAAGCAGTCATTAAGAGTCCTGGACTTCTAAAGGAATCATGTAATAGTAATCAGTCTTGAGTGACTAATAATTTATAATTTCATGTGATTAGAACAGAAAGCTAGTTTCATTTATGTCATTATGTCTGTGCCTTCTTGGGAATGGGCAAGTTGAAAAATCACATAAGATAGCCCACCCTTGAAAATGTTCAAGATGACCTTTAATACAAAAATAGTTGATGTTGTGAGTAATATTAGATTATGAAAATTTAGTTAAAACTTTCCAATGTTATTGCAGAGGTTGAAAACATCTTATTGTCATAAAGAATACCAAATGCACACAGTTTAAACTGCAGCATAACAGTTTTAATATTTGTTATTTCTTACAATGTTGGATCCAAGAAAGTTCCAACAGTGTTTTTTCCTTTACTCGTTTTATTGTGGAAGCTAAATTTGCTGTAAGAAGATAAAACTTCTTGTCCCTCAATGTCACAGTTCTCCGGAGATCTTGTGGTAAAAAATGAGTAGGAAAAGAATAGTATTTGTAAAATTATTTTAGTTTATCATTTGTTTGTGTTTATGCTCATTCACAAAAGAGGTTGGGAAACTGATTTTCATATTTGTTTACTGTTTTTAAACTTTCCTTATTACTAAACTTTTTGCATAGTTGTAATACTTTATTTTGAGTCATAGTTATATATTTTGTTCTTCCTTTCCTCTAGCTATCCAGTTATTGTTTGTAATCTTTATCAACATTGCTTTAATGTTTATAAAGAATACAAATGTTTATAACAATTGGTAGATTCTATTAATATCCTGGACTCAGGTTGATGTAAATAATTACTGCTTCCTCAATCTAGCTTTAATAGGATAAGTCTATAGGGTAACTTCTATAGCAGAAATTTGTATATGTTCTAATAATTTTGAGTACAAAAGAAGAAAGGAAATGGTTCAGACAGCCTATCCCACTAATCGAAGGCAAACACTCCTTCCTCTCCAGAGTGTAAAATTCTTATATTAAAACCCCTTTCCTTAGGAGAGATAATGGGCTGTGGTAGCTTTTGTTCATCCAATATTAAGAGGTGTTACTAATTCTATTTTTCAGGAATGATGACCAGAGTAAGTCCTCATCAGTCCCTTGGCTTAATCAGTAAAGAGTTTACTAATTTCTTGAGTAGTCCATTCATACTAGGAACTTCCTTTGTTATTGCAACTCATTTCCCTTCAGACTTCAAACACTTCAGAATGCCACTTCATTACAACGTTTTCCCCAAGGCATTTTAACTAGATTCAATAAAGCTGATTTAATTAACAACAAACGTCATTAGATGGCAAGTTATACAAAATAAAAAAAAATAAACGAATAGGAAGAATATCATTTTCTTAAACTGTATGTTGTCTCAAATACTTAAGCTGAAATTGTAGAATGGTTTTGTGCATACAACACGATGGATTTACGACAGGGCTCCTTACCTCTAAATCATTGCTTTAGAGTCAGAATACAGTTTTGATCTGATGTTGATTTCATGGCCTGCAGTTGTATGTAGTTGATAGGGGCTCACCAATCCAATCGTTCCCTGGGGTACAAGTAGTGTGGAAAAGAAAGCTGAAGTTAGGTGAGTCTTTCATTTGCCAGGATAGGGTCCACTATTAGATGTACCCGGCTAGGACAGTTTTACTGTGCTTTTGATATTTGCTAACTGGTTGATTTTAGTCTCTTGATTTAAAAAAAAATTTTTTTCGGTGATATCTACAATTAGGAGAACGTTTTTTCTCGTTGACTCTACAATCAGTTTATCATTTAATGTTGGACAAGTGATTCAACCTCAATGGGCCTCCATATCCTCATATATAAAATGAAGAGGTAGTACTAGATGTAACATTGTGCAATTGTCTTTTTCCAAATTCCAAAACTATGCAGTTACAGGGTTTGAGTGTAGTAGATAAGATGGAAGAATGTTAACAAACCCTGAGCTCCATTTAAAGTTGCTTTCAGACTTGAACTTGAGCTGTCATAGATTACTTTAATCTCTCTGGGCCATACCATTTCTATTCTCTTCCTTCTGTCCTTCAACTAGGCAAAGAAAATATAAAGATCTGCATGCAAACTCTGCCATCTAATTCTCAAAAAGTTATTGGAAAGAAAAAAGGAATTGCATTGAATTTCCTTTAGTCAGCTGTTTTAGTTCCTTTCATACCTTACCTTGAGCTTGCCAGCCAATAGAGAGTTGTAATGTTCTTTTAGTGAGTGAGGCTTAATTAAAATTTTCATTCAATTAGTCATACACTTGACTTTGAGCTCCCTGTATATATTATTTTGTCCTCAATTAAACTTCTTGTGCCTCCACATTCCATTCTCTGAATTCTTATTCTTATCTAATACCTTTTAAAAGATTTTTTCCCCCTCCCAAGTTGTTTTTCTTTCACAGTATAGTTGTATATATACACACATTTCAATGGTTAGATAACTTGATCAGATTATTACACCGGTGGAATCTGAGTGCTGAGGTTAGTTTTAGTTTTAAACTTTCCTTCCTGATGTACTATTGTATTCATGGAGTGGTTTAAATATTTACTACAAATAAATCAGTGACTCTGTGACCTTCATGAGGTTAAAATAGAATGTTGCATATTAACCAGATGTGGAGTGAGTGACTGACTAGCCTAGTGTATATATGGTAAGCCATATATCCACTTTGAATATAGATTATTTATCAACTGAAAAAAGGGTTTATTAAGTTTGTGTCTCAATAATTTTCAGGCACAAACCAAGCTTAATGGAAAGACCTTAAAAATGAGTGTGTATGCCTGTATTAATAAATATATCAGCTAATGTATTGTTTCAAGACTACAGGTGTTTTCTTTCAAGACATACTACTTGAGTTATTGTTTAATTCCTTTAGTAACTAGATTTGGTCTGAATTCATTAATTTCTTTAGACTTTATAAGCATGAAATATCTGATAAATTTGAAATGTCAACCACTAAGTTGAAACCAAAACTACATTTTGTTTGGCCAATTAAAATGTAAAGAAGCTTGAAATGATAAATACGTTTTTTAAAATTGTTTTTCCTACTCTTAAGCTTTGAGAATCCACTCCCTGTGTTGACATAATAACCTTGTTGCTATAGTATTGGTCGTAATTACATGGTTGGTTACATGGTAGCTAACAGCTCTTCTAAGAATCATCCCCAGGATAAAATTCATTCCACAAAATAGAAATATATTCCATTTAATTAAAAGGCTTAATATATCACTTGCATAAAAACCAGGAGGGGGTGGGGTTAAATACTGCTATAGATCTAATTTATCATATATTTATTTTTCCAACTCCTTTTGATGTTTTGATTAAAAAAAAAAATGCCCTAGCTCTTTTACCGGTGTAGAGCTGTGAGCCACATAGTCCAGCAACCTCTTCCTTTCATTTATAAATTATATACTGGGGGTGCCAGAAACATGTATACACATGACTTGTATTCATCTTTTGTTATCAGTATATATTGAATATTACAATTTTAATACAGTTATTTTCCTTTCCTTCATTTGCTTAAAATGTATATGCATTTTTTTGGCACCCTCTGTATTTTTAAAAATCTATATATACTACATTTATAGTTCTGTCAAGGCTCCAAAACTAAGGAGGGGTTAGTGCTTTAAGAAAAAGTAGGTTGGAAAATAACACACACCAATTTCTGCACAGCCACAGATTTATTCCTGTCTGCAGGCATCACATAGGTAAGAGAGTGCAGACCATCTGATTTTTATGATTTCTGATCTTTCTTAAATGTCCTCAAGATTATCCACAGAGTAGCGGTGCATAATCTATGAGTCTGTCTTTGTGCCTGATGAAAGCTGTGGTTTCATTCTTAAACAGGTTTGCAAATAATTCTAAGGGATTCACAGAAGCCCTGTTTAAGAACCCCAATCTCCAAATATTTTTTATTACATGCCCTCTCAGTAAAATTATTTGAACACACATGTCTATATATATATATATATATATATATATATGTATATGTATATATATGTAATATAGATCATATATATACTTATGCATGCTCAAAAATATTTATTTGCTTTAAATAATGTACAGATATTACTCTACCTGTATGTACATTAAGGAAAATTTGTTGAGAAATTGTAAAAAGAAAGAAAGAAAGAAAGAAAGAAAGAAAGAAAGAAAGAAAGAAAGAAAGAAAGAAAGAAAGAAAAACAAAGTATAAAGGTCTAATATTTTCTCTTCACATCACAGTAGATTGTGTTTGGGGTACATATGCCCCTCTTAGAGACTTTTGGTCTGTCACATATGCCAACTTTTGAAAATATTTTTTATAGTCAACAACTTTGGAATCTTGAATTTAATCTCTATACTGAAGTCTCATTTCACTGGAAATTTGTGGAAAACAAGAATTTTCTCAAGTGACTGTCACACATTTGGTCTGTAGATAATGTTTAGGTTATTTATTGAATTCTTTTTATACTTCATGATCCATTTTAAAGCCTCCTAGTAGATTTAAAACAAGAGTTTCTACATCCACAGAGCAGTCTAAACCCAATGATGAAATAAATGTGCCCCCCCAGCACCACACACACACTCACACACACACACACACACACACACACACACACACACACACACACACACATCTTTCAATTCCAGTAACAGTCTCTGCTCTATGGATAAATTCCAAAAGGAGGGATTATTATAGTGTAACCCTGGTCAGTGTTATAATTGGAAAGATATTTTGTACTGTTTGCTTTTAATGATTTTTTTCTTCACATGAAGAAGGTTGCAGCCATCCTGGTGTGTCTTGTTCTCATTTCCTTTTCTCCAAAGGATGCCGACCTGTTGGATGTTGAGAGCAAGCACTTTGAAGACCTAGAATTCCAGCAGCTTGAACGTGAGAGCCGCCTGGATGAGGAAAAGGAGAACCTGACCCAACAGCTCCTGAGGGAAGTGGCTGAATACCAACGGAACATTGTTACTAGGAAGGTACTTCTGCCAGGTGGCACTCCATGTCAAAAATCAAAATGTACTTCTCACTATGTGGCAACGATAATCATTATTTTATTTATTTATTTATTATTTTTTAATATTTTATTGTGGAATCGGGGAAGGGGAACAGTGTTGGGGAATTGGGGAAGGGGAACAGCCAAGTTGTCCTTCAGTCTTAGCTGTGGAGGGTACAGCTAGCTCAGCTCCAAGTCCAGTTGCCATCAAGCCACCCGTGGGCTGCTCACGGCTGCTCAGCTCAAGGTGCCGTGTTCAATCTTAGTTGCGGGTGGACATAGCCCACCATCCCATGCAGGAGTCGAACCGGAAACCTTGTTGTGAGGAACACGTGCTCTCACCAGCTGAGCCATCCTGCCATGTGTTAGCAGCTCAGCGGTAACTCAGCTCGGGTGCAGCTCACTGGCCCATGTGGGAATCAAACCAGCGACCCCATTGCTCAGATCTTGCATTCTTAACCAACTGAGCCACTCAGCCGGCCCAATAATCATTATTAATAATCATGTAGCATGTGTCTGTCTATCTTTACATCACATCTGAATATCTTTGTGTGTTTATCATATCACATTTGCCAGTTTATGGAGCCTGCCATCCATATGCCAAATAGCGCTCCAAACTAGATAAACTGAGACATGTTACAGTCATTGTTACTTAATGCTGTAGATGAATTTATGAATAATATCTAATATTTTCTTTTATATGAAAACCAAGGCAGAGAATATTAGAAATTTAGATATTTGTTTTAAATTGCTTCCTTTGCAATCATAGTAACTAGATTCAGAAAAACTGCATGAACAAAGTCAGTTTGGGAATTTTCTCTGTGTCCATTACTCAGCAGTTCTCAAAGCTGGCTGATATTTTGTCACTATTAGAAACAGCCCCATAGCCCTGTGGAAATCCATGCATATTATTGACTTTACCCAACCCCTAGCACCCAAAGGTCCAGCCCAGAATTCAGTTCTTGTTACAGAATTTAAAATCACACCACAGCACTCTGTATTAAACCCATAAAATCGAGAGAAGGGAAGAGGAGAAGGTGACTTCTTAAGCTCTCAGTTTAAATAAAAAACTCCCTTGGTTTTTTGCCATGATGTGTATCCCAAGGTGATGTCAAAAATTCATTTATAGTCTAAAACAAGATTCCCTGTTGACTTCTAAGTTCTTCAAATAGACTTTAAATCACTTGAACTGTATTAGCCTTAGGTAAAGAAACTGCCACACAGTCTCTGGGTAATAATCACGGCCAGCCATCATTGAAAATGTGGTCCCTGTTATTCCAGTCACTTCTCCCCTTCCCAGGACAGACTGGCAAGCCTTTAACTGTCTAATGTGCATTTTTCTGTGATCATATTTTTTGCCTCCAGGAAAAAATTTCTGCATTGAAAAAGCAAGCCAATCACATTGTCCAGCAGGCTCAGAGAGAACAAGATCATTTCGTGAAAGAAAAGAATAATTTAATAATGATGCTGCAAAGAGTAAGTATTTCCTTTTCAGCACTGGTTGCAATAAAACACAGGTTTCAACTTAGGGAAAGTTGCTTCCTTCAACGCAAGTGCCTTTTAATAGTGAATAGTGGATTGTAATTTAAGAAGGACTTTTTAATATATCTTTTTAATTAATCCTCCACATTAGTAAGCTAATGCTCTGGGAATGACTAAGTATAAAGCAGAAAATAAGAAAGGATTTTTCCTCATGCTTTTTCACAGCGTGAAAATCCAACTATGAAAAATTTGTATGTTTTCTGATTTTCTTTTAAAAAAATCATACGTTTCTTCAAATAGGTAAAATACGTTCTGTTCTTTTTACAGCTGTCAAACATTTTGGCACAGCTGCTCTGTGTTTTGAGTTCCAATTATTCGTGTGTGGGTCTCCTTGGCAAATGGCCCATTGGATTTAGTTTAGCTAGGTAGACACTCCCACGTGGGTGGCAAGATCACCCTCACCAAACAGACTGTGTCTACAACCCAGCATCTACAGTGGCTGCGTGGAAAGGGATTCCTTTGCCCAAACTGCAGTCTAATTCCCTGATATGATCCCTAGTCTAATTTCAGGAGTAAGGCATCAAAAGTTAAAGTCGATGAAGCTACTCTCCCGACTGAGTCTTGCATGCAGGCCATTTCCTAGCATTATGACACTCGAGATCATGATGATATGAGATGGACCCAGAATGGTGTGTAGGGTAAAAACAGCATGAGACTGAACTGTGGTCCCACCTAGAGGAAATACAGCTGGAGTAGTCCTGTCTTAGCTGTTTTGAGTTTGAGGAAAGAGAAGAAAATCTGTCCTTCACATAGAATGATGAGTTCACTTGAGGTGCCTCTGTAGCCCACACTGAGCCCTGACAGCTCCCCTCCTGTTGCATCTCTAGTTTCTACAAATCTCTGAATGGAGCTGTATTCTGCATCCCTATCTCCTCCTCTAGGGAAGAACTCTACTCTAGTGCCATTTGTCTCCCCGCCACCATTTACCCTCTGCACACAGTATTAAATTAAATAGTATAATGTGCAGTATTTAGGTTGTTTCTGAAAGTTGAGCACACAAAAAAAGGAAAAAGCCTCTTAGGGATAGAATTTTTTAAATGGGGAAGCACACACAGAAATACCATTTCCTAATTAAAAATATATAAGAAATAATTCTCTTGTAAAAATCGTGGTCCACGAGTATTAACGGTTTTATTTTCCCAAATTATCTATAGCTACAGCTCAATCCTGATAAAAATACCAATAAGCGTTTTGTAGAAGTTCACCAGTTGATGCTAAAATGTAGCCTATCCTCATTATTCATGGATTCTGTATTTTTGAATTTGCCTTCTCACTAAAATTTACTTGTAACAAAATCAATCCTTGTCATGCAGTCATTCGTGGACATGCAGAGAGTGGGGAAAATTTTGAGTCACTTGACATGCATGCCCCCTGCTGAGGTTGAACAAGGCAACGCTCTGTCTTTTTTCAGCTCTAATACTACACAGTGTCCATTTTGTGGTCTGTTTAGTGCCATGTTTTCACATTTTTTGTTCTTTTTGTTGTCTAAAATGGCTCCTAAGCATACTGCTTAAGTACTGTCTAAATCCTAAGCACAAGAAAACTGTGAAGTATCTTATAGAGAAAATGCATGTGTTCAATTATAGTGCTGTTGGCTGTGAGTTTCATGTTAATGTGAATCAACAATGTGTGTTAAATAAAGTGTCTTTTAAACAGAAACACACATAAAACAAAGTTGTGTATTGATCAGCTAAAAATACTGTGACCATAGTCTCACAGAAACCCAACCTTGTAATTCCCCTATTGAATGATGGTTCAATATTCACTAATTCAGTGTTCATGACAACGTAATAAATCATTAACTGTGCAAATAATGAGAATTAACTGTATAAGAAAATGCAAAGGGTATAGTGTAGCCAAAACAACTTTGAACAAAGTTGGAGGATTTATATTGTTTTCAAGTTTTACTATAAAGCTGTAATGTTGCAGACTACTCATGTGTGTGGTGCTAGCATGCAAATAGACATATAGATCAATGGGAACAAACAGAATCCGGAAATAGACCCATACATACACTGTCTGTTGATTTTTGACAAAGCCTCTAAGACAACCCAGTAAGGAAAGGAAAGTCTTTCCAACAAACGGTACTGGATCAACTGGGTAAACATGGAAAAAAAGGAACCTCTACATGAGGAACCATCCTCACATCATGCATATAAATTAATTTGAGATAGATCATAGACCTAAACATAAAAATTGAAATGATTAAGTTTACAGAAATTATAGAAGTTCTAGTGTACCTTCATAGCCTTGGGGTAAGCAAAGATTTCTTAAAGAGGAAATGGCAAAGGACTTGTAACCAGAATATATTAAAAACTCCTATAACTTGATAATATATAAACATCAAATAAATAATTTTTAAATAAAAAGCAGGCAAAAGACTTAAAAAACTTCACAAAAGATATATGAAGAGTCAATCAGTCACATGAAAAAAATGCTCAACATCATTAGTCATCAGAGGAATCCAAGATTGACTAAGCTTACTAGATTTTGTGTTCCTTCAGGAAAAGGAAAATCTTTGTAATTTGGAAAAGAAATACTCCAGCCTCTCTGGGGGAAAAGGGTTTCCTGTCAACCCCAGTACACTAAAAGAGGTAAGCTATGATTTTTCATGTCCACTCATGTCGCCTTAGAAATCAAGAGATGTAGCTCAGTTTTATATGATTAGCTGAATAGGAAAAGCATTGACTTAAATGATTTAGGAAAGCACT